ATGTCGGAATCGTTCGAACGCCCTTGCGCGCGTGCTGACGCAAGTGGTCGTAAGGATTTCAAAACCGTGAGCCCCGAAACTTTTTTTATAAAAAAACATCGCAACAACAATGTTCAAACAAGCCTGCGCTCGAGCTCTTGCGCATCCTTCAAAGAAAAACAACAATTTAATTTTCAACATGCTCACAACGTTCTGCCAAACAGGCCTCGTGCGCCGCATGCGGAAATCATTCGAACGCTTTCGCGCGCGCGCTGGGGAGGGGCACGGCCCGTGTCAAATAATACCATGCGGGCCAATCTCGCGCGTCGGTCGCGCGCGCATGTCTACCTCAATCTAAAACATGCATCACCCACGCGACGACGCCGTCATCGTCGTCGGCATGATCAGCATCGGCGCCGTCACTGGCCGTGCCGTCGTCGTTGTCAATATCGCCACCAACATCGCTACTGTCATTCTCGTGTCTACCGTTGCCGACGTTGCCATGATACCGCGCCCGCCCAAATCGCCGACTCGCACTGAAGTGCCCGCTGGGATGTGCCCAACGGTCAGCGACACCGCGGCCGCGTCGGTCGCGCCAAACTAGTTGGCCGCTGCGCGCGCGTGCATGCGCGGGCTGGCGCGGCTGCAGAGATGCACCAAGCACTCATCGCAATCACCCCCGCATGGGTTTTGCATACCATGTTCGCCTCAGCGGAATTGGCAACTTCAATTTGAGCACTGGCAGATTGCAGACCGCAGATTACACCACATGGGTTATTCAACACGGAGTGCTAGAAGCACATGTTATGGAGTCCAAACTGGCTGACATGTGCATACGTGGATGTGGATGTACACGCGTACGCCTATATTGAATACGCGCGTACCCATATGTATGTATGTATGTATGCATGTATGTATGTATGTTTGTTTGTATGTATGTATGTATGTATGTATGTATGTATGTATGTATATATGTATATTTGTATATATATATATATACACACGCACATATATATATATATACACGCATACATATGTATGTATGTGTGTAGCACCGACTTTCCGAACACTGCTTGTACCTAAGGTTTCTACGTCGCTTCTTTTCTAATTCCACCTGCCGTCTGGGTGGTGGTTGAACAGACGTGTGCTTTCTCCTTGCTAAAAACACTCCTCTCCAAGCGCGGGGGGGAGGCCCCTATCAGACCCCCCCCCCCCCGCAAGCGACCGGCAGCCAACCAGGACCAATGGCACACCATCGCCATCAACAAAAATGTCAAATCCACATTGGGCCCAAATCGTGGGTCATGATCGGTGTGTGTGAGTCAGAGAGAGAGAGAGAGAGAAAGAAAGAGAGAGAGAGAGAGACAGAGAGAGAGAGAGAGAGAACAACAACAAAAACATGTTGTTTGGTTTGTTGCTCGGGACGGCCGGGCGGGCGCAGACTGCCTGCTGCGCGCAAAACCAGCGTTTCTTCCAACAGCAAGTGCAAATTGCACTCCGCAACAACATTTGGACCATACGCGGGCACCCTGCGATCACTGCGCACATTGGTTTTTGACTGGGACGGCGGGTGTGCTGGCATTTCGTTTGCTATCAGCAGGCCTACCAGACGCTATGATGGCCACCTCGACGCCCTTGCGCACTGGTTTTCGACATAAGTGGTGGTGGCCGACGCGTTTCCCGATGTGTACTGCCTCACGCGCAGGCACGTGGCACACTCTGCGCTTGCCCCGAAAGTGGCGCACCTGGCGCGACTGGAGTTTGCACCACGCACGGAGCACCCGAGTCACGTGGCGCATCTGGCACACCAGGCGTGCCTGGCACGCTTGGGCCACAGGGCTGCCTGGCGCACCTGGAGCGCGTGGCGCGCCTGGCGCATCTCGCCCCAGCGTTGCTCACATGGGGTCCGTTTTGGTTCCAATTCGCTGTCCGTCCATTGAATACAGCTGAACATGCTGCGGCTCGGGTGCTATTTATATGATGGGGGGGCAGGTGGGAGTGGGCGAGATGGCTTGCGTGAGGGGGGCCGGTTGTTTTGACCCGTCACCTCATCCCCTCCCCTGGACCTGGAGGAAGGGGGATGTAACAAAGGTCGCTGTTTGGCCCAAGCTGGTTTTTGAACCTCGGAAAACGGGGGGGCCTAGCAGACCCTTTTTTTTCAGCCATGGGGCCCAAGAGGCCTCCTCCAATGAGCCCTAAAAGAGCCTCAAGGGAGCTTCAAAAAGGCACCACGAGGCCCCATGGGGACCCCAAAAGAACCCGTAAGATGGCCTTCCTCGTCGTTCAAAAACCTTTCGCAGCAACGTATCTCCAAATCCCGACGTTTCATCCTCCTTGTCATCGTCCGTTCTTTCCCTCCTCTTTTCCTGCCGTCTCTCTCCTCCCCGTCCTCATCTTCCTCGTTCCGCATTCCTCCTCGTTCTCTCCTTCCTCCTCCTCCTCCTCCTCCTCCTCCTCCTCCTCCTCCTCCTCCTCCTCCTCCTCCTCCTTCTCTTCCTCCTCCTCCTCCTCCTCCTCCTCCTCCTCCCCCTCCTCCTCCTCCTCTTCCTCCCCCTCCTCCTCCTCCTCCGCCTCCTCTCCGCCGAAGATGGTCCCAGGAGGTCGAGCATGGCGCAAAACAGCCTCGACATGGCCTGGGATACCTGAACATGGCTCAATTATAGCCTCCGACAGCCTCTAGCCGAGCATGGCTCAAGATAGCCCCCGAGAAACCTCAAGAAAACCTGCGATCGTGACTGGATGTGCTGGTGGGGATACGTCTTAGTACGTCGGCGCGCGAAACGGGTCGAACGCCGAACGAGCACGGGCAGGCCATGCCACCGGCTCAGGAAAACGGGGCACCGAGCAACGCCAGGTGCGGGGCGGGACTGACGCGGCCAAAATAGCGGGAAGGCACCGCAAAGCAACACCAGGAACAAGAGGAAGGTGCCGAGCAAGAAGCCGAAGCGAGCGAACCCAATGGCTACGAAGGATGGGAGCCCCAAAGCCACACTTACCCAGGAAGCCGGTGACGGAGGAGGGAATGCTCATCCGATTCCCCTGGTAAACTTGCCGAACACGCGGTCCTCGTTCAAGAAAAGCACGACGATGCCGAGAGGAAACCGACCTCCAGATACTGCATGAACGGCATGGGGATACGCGAAGCGTCAAGAATTGAACTTCATTGTCGTTCCGGCTGGCTCGTCGCCGCCCGTCGCCGCTGCCCGTGCACTGATTCGCATCTATTAGCATTGCGCCGTATTGCTTGGCATTGATTAACACTGCTTCGCGGTGCGTTGCATTGTTTGGCGTAGTTTGGAGTCTCTCTGCGTAGGTTTGCATTGCAGCGCATAGTGCTGCATTGCATTGCTCTGGGTAGCTTTGCATTGCTTAGCGTTGCTCTGCGTTGAAGCGCGCTGCAAAAATTGCATCACATCGATTGTGCCACCTAGATTGCACCGCGTTGGCTGCACCACCGAGGCTTTCCTACTACAGTACCGATAAGATATACTTCCACATCCCCTCTGGAATTAACGGTCCCCTTCGCGTTTTGATAATTACAGCTGATGTTTTCGCATCGTCCATTCTAAATATGAACTCGTACCATCCCACGCAGGCCGGTATAGCCCCTCCCCCCGCATCCGATTGAACAAATGCTATGTGCGCGCACTCGGTTAACAAACATCAGAAAAATTCAAAAACCCTTTGCAACAATAGGGGCACAATGCACGCGCGCGCGTCGTCGCGCGCGAATGCCGGAATCTTCTTTCTTTCCGCAACTGCATATTCCAAACCACCAGGGGACGCACCCAACCATTTTTGAAGCATGTGGCGAGAATACATCGGATCGCTCAATAAAAAAGCAATCATTGAATGATCCGCGATTCCCTTGAACGCTTCGCCAAAGAACGTCGGGCCAGAGTCACAGGCTTCACATGTGCGGCGCCACTCTTAAGAGCACGGTCGTTGGCAGGAGACCGACCACGAGGGGGCGTGGAAACATGTGGAGGAAGGACGATTGGAAACATAATTCGTGGGAGTAGCAGAGCCTTGCGCAGCGCTGTGCTCGCTATGACAAAACAAGGCCTTGCGCTGAACGTAGCATGTGCCCCCCGCATTACAAACAACAGGCAACTGAAGAAAGGATGGGGCAAGGGCAACGGAGAGCGCCATGTGCTGTTCGCTGCGCGGCGCTTGCACACGCCGCGATGTGCGATCTAGCAGCGCCATGCGCTATGCGACGTGGAGAGGTCGTGCGTCAACGGGGCGACAATAAGCAGGGCTGGGATCACACCGCATGT